GGTAGAAACGCAACTCGTCATGTTTGGAGAGAGAATGCTGAGTTGCATCCAAAGAACACCATACCTACTGTGAAGCATGGGGGTGGCAACATCATGCTTTGGGGCTGTTTCTCCGCAAAGGGACCAGGATGACTGATCCATGTACAGGACAGAATGAATGGGGCCATGTATCATGAGATTTTGAGTGCAAACCTCCTTCCATCAGCAAGGGCATTGAAGATGAAACGTGGCTGGGTCTTCCAACATGACAATGATCCCAAACATACCGCCCGGGCAACGAAGGAGCGGCTTCGTAAGAAGCATTTCAAGGTCCTGGAGTGGCCTAGCCAGTCTCCAGATCTCAACCCCATAGAAAACCTTTGGAGGGAGTTGAAAGTCCGTGTTGCCCAGCGACAGCCCCAAAACATCACTGCTCTAGAGGAGATCTGCATGGAGGAATGGGCCAACATACCAGCAATAGTGTGTGCCAACCTTGTGAAGACTTACAGGAAACGTTTGACCTCTGTCATTGCCAACAAAGGATATATAATAAAGTATTGAGATGAACTTTTGATATTGACCAAATACTTATTTTCCACCATAATTTGCAAATAAATTCTTTCCAAATCAGCCAATGTGATTGTCAGGATTTTTCTCATTTTGTCTCTCATAGTTGAGGTCTACCTATGATGCCAATTACAGGCCTCTCTCATCTTTTTAAGTGGGAGAACTTGCACAATTTTGTGGCTGACTAAATACATTTTTGCCCCACTGTAACTACAGGAATGTTTTTAACATACAGCTTTAAATTTTAAATCCTATGAATCCAACTTCAATTAAATTTAAAAAGGACATAAGCAAATCCACTAAATCTGTATTTTATAGTACATGTGCACAAAGTTCAGTTTAATCTTTTTTTCTACATTTACCAAGCACATCTACAAACCTGAACTCGATTATGGGATACAGTCAAACTGTAAAGATAAATTACAGGACAACTGCAGCACTAATACACGGCTGTCAAGCTTTGAAGTAAAAGCAGCTCACAAGATAAATATACACTGATTAAATGGGTGCAAGCTAAGTAAGAGGTACAAAATGGCCACTGTATGAGCATCTGGAAAAAAGTTCTCATTTTGCATTTGAGCAACAAAACATATATAAAACAAAACTATGGGATGACTCCTGCTTCCTTCAAGTTTATACGTATATGATAAATGCATTTTATGCAATGATACTAAAAAAAAAAAAAGCATGCACTATCATAGGAATGTGACATAGCTGAGGTTTTATTACTTTGTTCTTGTAAAAAAGGATTATTAAGCAATTTGCAAAATAAATATGACCAAGTATTAATCAGATATCCATTGTGTGGTGAAAAAAAGCACAAGCTTGCCACTAAATAAATCTGGATACAAGATTAACTGTATGTGTCAAACTGCACAGGATTCAATATATTTGGGAAAACTGGATGACCCTTATGGCCTCATACACACTGGATGTTTAGCTACGCTGCATGAGACTCCAGCGTTTAGGTACTGGTGGAAAGCAAAAAAAAACACCACCCAGCCCCACTACTGGCAGTCTGTAAAACTAAGAGGCTGACAGCTGTACCGAGCAATACCAAAGTTTAGGGCATACTATACCCAGGGATGAATGCTCAGAACACAAGCAGTCTGGGTCCTGGGAATTCATCGTTCAGCTGCAGAAAAAAAAGTTTTACAGGCTGCTGGCATCAGGGCTGAAAGGGGCACCTGTACCTTCCGACTGCACCTAACAGCTGGAGTCTCATGTACCAGGGATAAATGCCTAGTTTGCACAAGGCCTACACATTTCAGATTTGAAAGTAATCTGATTAACAGTAACCAACCATTTTACCACATGTGCGATTTGTAGCTCTGCATGGCACCTATGGGCCAAAAAAAAAAAAAAAAAAAAAAAAAAAAAAAAAAAAAAAGGGTAGGCAAGGACTACTTACTGCTAGTTCACAAAATTACATGGGTATTAATCCAAGCACCCAGATTAGCAGTACAGAACGGAAGCAGAAAAGCACGAACAGCTTACTATGAGCTTGTAGACTGTACATTCCCCCACTCTATTCAATATAAAACAAACCTTTATCCAGTTTTATTTGATGGACAACTTTAGAAACAAATGAAAAAAAAAATAAACAAAATAGCAAATCAGAGCTGTCAACACCTGCAAAAGGTTTTGGAAGGAGAAAAAAAAAAAAAAAAAAAAAAGGGAGGAGGGAGCTTACAAATGATGCCTTCGGCATCAACACTGGTCTAGAGCAATCTAAATGATATTCCTTTAAGGGCTGGTTCACATCAGGGCTGCACTAGAATTGCACAGGAACACGCTGTGCATTCCACATGCGGCTCTGTGCAGTGTGATTTCAAGTCCATTAATTTTTAAGATGCACTGTAACCGAATAGCATGGTATTGCCTTTGAGTTGCTAACATTTTGACACCCGCTACAGATCACAAAAGATAATCTAGCATGCAGGTTGAATGGCCCAGGAATGCTCAGAGCGTTCCTTTGCGATTCTAGTGCAGGCATGGTGTGAACAGGCAGGCATACTTTCAGGGCCAGTTCGCACCAGGCCCACAAAAAAAAAAAAAAAAAAAATAATAATAATGCACAAAAACGCTGTGTTCCTGTGTAATTCACATGCAGCTCTGTGCAGTGCAATTCCAAGCCCATTCATTCAAATCTAACCGCACCAAAAAGTAGTACATGCAGGTTAAATAGCACAGGAATGCACAGAGCATTCTTATGTAATTCTAGTACAGGAATGGTGTGAATGAGCACTCAAAATTTATATTTTTGCCACGGAAATGGAAAATATTTGGCTGGAATATTACCCAAAGTGGCTCTGGAAAAGGATCACATCACTTGATACCACAAAACACAACAAAAATGTTCTTACCCACAATTATGGCCAGAATGCATATTAGTTCAATTAGCAAGAAACAGGTCTGCCCTGTTCACAAACATGACAGGACAAAAGTTATTATAGTTTGAAGGTCTGACACTCTAAACATCTCTATAGACAGTAAGCAACAGTATGTGGAATTGTAATTTGATAAGCTCACTGAATTAGATCTTCACTGGACTAGCCTCTGCAAACTGGAAAAAATGTTTAAGCTTCTAAAGCCTATAGTACACATGGGACAAATGTCAGGCAATATTGGCCATTCCACTGGTATCTGTTGGAGGGGCATGACCAAAAAAAGGTCTGCCAATTGGCTCCTGATAAGTGCTGTCAGCCAATGGCAGCCCCCTGTCAGAACACAGCAGAGGAGATTGCTGTACTGACATCAGATAGTTAGTAAAGCAGCTCCTTCTGAGCTAGCAGTTTTTTCTGTTCAGCCTGCTGGGTTGAAAGAAAAACAAAAAAAACAAAAAAAAAAAAAAAAAAAAAAACAACCCACTAGTAGTGTGTAGTAGGCTTATGGTCCAGTTGTAAGCATCTTAGTCTTTACATTGCAGCCTGCAACAGAAAAAAACTGAATATGACAGGCCACAAAGGCAAACACTTTCACAAAACAGTCTCATTACTTCTAAACTGGGTGTTGGGGATGAGAAAAGAAAAGAAAAAAAAAAAATCCCTAAAGAGGTTATTTATACTGTGAGAGGTAAACAACATGCATGCAGTAGCCAGATATGTTCAAAGATAAAAGCAAAACTGCATCTTTAGAATTTCTTGGTCATAAGTATCAAACTAAAGGAAACATCTACAGCTCAGAGAACAGCTAGAAATTGGACACACGCTAAAATAAAACAAAACCTGTTAGGTATTTTAAACATTCAAAGACTGGCCAACTGCAATTCAGTCCAGAAAAAATGCCCTTATTGGCCATCGAGACAAATTAGATTAAAGGGTGCAGATGGCAGGGCCTGTTACCAGACACCTAGAAAATCATTTCAGAGCGGCTTAAGACAGGTTTTCTAATATAGGTAATAGCAAGAATCTGGTGGTGACTGTTCTTAGGCTGGGCTTTTAAGTTTAAAGTGGACTATGGGTTCACTTACTGGGCTTCAAAAAAAAAAAAAAAACAATAAAATAAACAAAAAAAATTAGGCAAAACAAATCTGTCATTATCAGCACTACCACTTCCCCTTCATTTTTCTACAGCAGGTTTGAGAATGATAATAGGCAAAAGTCATTTTTCTTTAATGTCCACTATCATCTCAACTGCTGTCTGGGCAAGATGAAAATCTTCCATGCAGAAGAGTTTATAATATTAGAAGTAACCATTTGTGCCATCATATAGGGTAAATGGAATTTTAGTGCATCTAAGGCCAAAAAAAAAAGGGTTTTACGCACTTTGAAGAATTCTCACTTCCTGTCCTGTCTACAGGACAGGAAGTGAACGTAAATCTCGATTGTGAAAAAAAAAAAAAAAAAACCCACACCATAAACAACAAAACCACACAATTTTGGCTATAGATACTCTAAAAGACAAAATGGTTATTTAGATATAAACTAGTTTAAGAGATTAAACATTGTCCATAAATATTTTAGCAACAATTATGCATTCAGTTGATTGTGAAACTCAAAACTTAATTTTACTAAGCCTTTAAAGCGGAGCAAGAATTAACTTGTATAGGTAAAGGAATTAAAGACCTACAAATGTTTCACTATTAAAGTCAAAATTAATGGACCTCTACAGGTCAACAGCTAGTGAGTATAGAAGACTACATATAAGCATTTAGAAAACCATTTTGTTATGGCAGAAAAAAAAAAAAAAAAAAAAAAAAGCAAAGACGTTCTACAATAAAGGATACTAGATCTATTCATAACTTCAGCTAGGCATGGCACAATATCACTTCACATAGAATGGATTAGCAATACCATAACAAAAAGGTTGTACTGTATCCCATAATACAAAGAACAGAATGTTGAATACAAACATTGAATTACGATGCCCCGCGTACTATTATCATAACAAGGTAGTCATCTTCTGATTTGGCGAGGGCTTTAGCTGTGGAATCCAGGAACTGCTGGGAAAATTCACAGGGTGGAAAAAGCATGAAGAACTCCTGTGTTTTCCTTATCTTTAGTGCCTCCCACAGGAAGGCTAATGACTCCTGCCGCTTGCTTTTGTTTTAAGTAGGAGACAAGGTTTCTCAAAGGACGCTGAGTAGAACTTGCTTGATCACCAGTAAAATTGCTCTCAGTTGTACCTGGAACAGCAAGCAGAACCGCATATCCATTGGGTCCAGCTACTTTGATGCGGCGTGTCACTTCATCCAGCTTGGGCTGATCGAGACGTAGTCTTTGTGTAATTTTTAACTGTGCAACCTTTCCGCCTGTCGATCCCTCAATTAATAGGCCAGTTGCTACTGCAAGATCACCCTGGAGTAGATGCATATTGGACGGAAAATTACTGTTTTTCAGCAGTAGCATCCCTTGCCAAGCCAAGCAAAGATTTTGGTTTGCTTCTTGTTTTGGGGGTGATTTCACTTTATTGCTGGACTCAAGCCGCTCATCTTTTCTTAATGGACTTTTATTTTCAATAATGCGATGTTTCCGATCTCTTTCAACAGGACTAGAATTCTTTCGATCGCGCTTGCTTTCAATTCCCCTTTCAAGACTTCCCCGCCAGTCTCTGGAAGGAGAGGACTGATCTGTCCTGTTGTTTGCACGATCTGTATCACTGTAACGACTATCACGACCTCCACTGCCATCAGGGCTTCTGTCAGGACTAGTACAGTGTCTCTTTCTGGAACGGTCACTTTCAGGTGACCTGTCTACATGACGAGCTTCATCAACCAGCCTCCGTTTTCTGGGCTGCTCCTTGTTTATGCCATCTCTTTCTCGCTCCCTCTCCAAAGACCAGCCATCAACTCGGCGGTCTAATGCTTCCAAAGAATCATAAGGAACTCTGTTTCGGTCTCTAATGGGAAGTGGCACCCAGTCTGAATCTCCATACAATTCCCTTTCTCTTTCCCTGTATAACAAGGGTGATGTACGCTCTCTGGCTCTAAGAGAATCTGGAGCTCTATGTGCAAAAGTATCCCCCACCAAGTCATAATGGGGTAAAGGTAAAGGCTGAAGATAAGGGGGTTGATAAACATGATCAGCATCAGCAAAGTCCACCCGAAGTCTCCTATGCTCTCCCCCCAGTGGAAAACCTCTCATCTGAGTACAAGCGGCCTGAGCAGCATCCAAACTTTCATACTGTATATAAGCCCAGCTGTCCCCTTTACGATAATCAATAGATCTAATGGTGCCAAATCTATCAAATTCACGTGCTAGCGAAGCCATTGGGACCCAGTGTCCAAGACCTCCCACCCACAGCCGGCTGGTGGGAGTAGCTTTGCCATAGCCAATTTTAATACAGTTGCGGAGAATAGGTTTACCAGCCATGGCTAGTTTTGCTCTTTGAGCCATGTCTAAATTCTCAAACTTGATAAATCCGTAGGTAGAGGATTGCCCCCGGATGGCTCGTTTGATGTCCACTTCAGTAATTGTTCCGAACCTCTCAAAAGCCCTGCGCAGCTCGCTCTCTGTCACGTTGACGTCCAAATTGCCAAGAAAGAGAGTTCTGTTGGCTCTTATATCGTTCTCCGTGCTATCGTCCTCTCGGATGTTAAGACGTGGGTCTAGTGGGTAGGAAGGCCGTATCCGGCTTTCATAGAAGTTGTAGTCTCTGTCCCTATCCAGGTCCCTGGGGAGCGGTGGGGGAGGTGGTGGAGGCAAGCGGCCCAGAGCGAGCTGCTGCAGCCTGTAGTCCCTGTAGCCCAGCCCTCCAGGGGAGAGGCCCCGCTGGCCATGCGGGTGCCGGTGAGAGGGTAATGAAGACACTGCAGCCGATAAGCTACTATACGGTTCCTTGTCCCCAGGGGAGCGGCTCCGACGCCGGCTGCTGCCTGTAGTGTACACCGCCTCTATCTTTAGCGGCCGGTCATAGAGAACCAGCCTGCCCCGGGCGTGCTTGGCTGCTCGGGCGTCTTCGGCACGCCTAAAGTTCACCAGGGCCACACGCTCGTCTCCAGAGCGGGAGATTTTCACACTGACGTCTCCGAACTTTTTGAATTCGTGAAAGAGTCCGTCCTCCACCGCCTCATCACTCAGAGATGAGCCCAGTTCACTGATCCGCAGCGACTTGTATTCGGCCTCTCCGCGGCTGTCTGAACTCCGGGCTACCGCACCGCCTCTGTCAGCGCCCTTGCTGCTGCTACTCCCGCTGCTGGCAACAGGAGACCCGTAGCTGTGCAATCCCGGGGCTCTTGCAGAGGACTCATAATCTCGATTACTGGAGAGCCCCTTGTCCAGGTGTAGGCCGCGCCGCCCGCTGCTACTCTCTGAGCTTTTGGCGACAGAACCGCTGTCGTTGCTACAGCTTGTGGAACTTAACTTCTTTCCGCAACGTTCGCGAGAGGACTCCTCCGCCCCCCGGGACCGCTTGGCCTTAACCGGGGAGCGTTCCTTTCCCTTCATGGCGAATTGTGGAGGGATCGTGTCCTCATACACAGATTCTTAGCGCCATCTTGCAATTTTTTTTCAGGAAGGGATCCACCCTATACCACGATAGGCCGGGAAGAGCATTTCCAGCATGGCCATTGGGTAACAAGGCTGTCAATCTGGGGTGATTGGGTGGGTTACGCCCTATATTTCAAAGCGTCATGTCCGTTGCTGAAGCTTGGCGCTTGTAGTTTTGAGAAGGATTGCTTGTGTCGTCAGAACGGTTTGCCAATGCACAAATGTAGACTCAATTTACAAATCCAATACAGAAGTTTATTTAAAAAAAAAAAAAAGAGAAACCAATGTTTGATTATGCCTAATGTAATACAAATAATATATAGTATACTTTGCTTATAAGACACAGGTATAATAAAGATAATGGGAAAAAATAAAGCTTAAAAAATTGCTGTTATAAAATTGAGGAGCTTAAGGCAGTATTAAAAAGCTTACCTGTTAAATTGGTGACCTCATTACTTTTCTTCTTTAGTCAGTTCACACCACATGCAGTCCAGTGTGGGTTTTTTTTTTCTGCTTCAGAAACAACTGAGTACTGTCCGTGATACTTTTTTTATTTGCACTTACAATTTTGAGGACAAGCATTCGGGGAGTGTCCCCTTCTTCAAGTCCAAGCAGTACTGATCACAAAGGTTTAGCAGAATATTAGAAGAGATGTAGGGGATGGGAAAAAAAAGAGAACAGAGATAAGACAAAGCAAAGAGTGTGTGTGTGTGTGTGTGACGGGGACGACACTCACAGAGGCAGTCATGCTTGAGGAGATCGTCATAAAACTGCTGGATAATGATTGAGGAATCCCATGTCCAAATTCAGGCTGTTATCTCTTGTGTCAAATAGAATTATCATTCTTAGTTCCAAAGTTTTTCTTTCCTGAATGGATTTGAAATTTCCTTTAAGAACTAAAATATTGAAGTCTCCAAAGTGTGGTCTGGTTGTGTGAAGTGGTGTCCTACAGGTGTGCAAAAGTAATCTTCTTTATGTTCCTTGATGGTATGTCTGTGCAAATTCATCCTTGTTTGCAACTTCTGTCCTGTTTCGCCAACGTAAGATCCTTTGCTACATTTTCTGCACAACATTATTAGAGGTGCAGTTGTATGATCCAGAGATATTGAAGATCCCTTTTGAGTGTCTGACACTTTTTGATGGATTGATTTGGTTGCACAGTTTGCAGCGTTTTTTATTGCAGGAGTTGCTTCTATTATTTGTGACATTATAATCAGAAGGAAGTTTCCTACTGATTAGTTTATTTCTGAGGTTGGGGGGTTGTCTGAAGGCCAATATTGGTAGTTGCTGGAATATTTCTTTCAGAGTTCCATCCTCTGTTATGATGGGTTGTAAATCTTTGTTTTTCTTATTCCTTCTAGTGCTGGGTTGTATGTGGTTACTAGAGGTACACGGTTGTTTGTTTGTTTTTTTCTCTTTGTACTGAAGTAGATTTTCCCTTCGGGTTCTCAAGGCTGTGTTTATGCTGTTGTTGATGGTTTTGTCCTTGTAACCTTTCTTATGGAAGGAGTCTGCTAGTATCCTGAGATGTTTATCTCTGTCTCTTGGGTCAGAATATATTCGGTGGTATCTAATGGCCTGACTGTGTATGATGGCACGTTTCGTGTGTTGGGGGTGGAAGCTAGAACTATGCAGGTAGTTGCATCTGTCAGTGGGTTTCCTGTATATTGAGGTGTGAATCGTATCATCCCTGATGTATACTGTGGTGACTAGAAGTTGACGTGTGTATGAAAAGTATTGATCAATGAGTAAAATTGTTTTAGGTATTCTTCACCTTCTGTCCATATGATGAAAATATCATCAATATAGCGATAGTATCTGTATGGTTTTTGTTCCATGCTGTTTAGGAATTGTTCCTCCAGGTCAGCCATAAATAAATTGGCATATTGGGGTGCCATTTTACTTCCCATCGCAGTACCCATGCATTGAAGATAGATAGATGTCTTTATTGAAAGTAAAGTAGTTGTGTGTAAGTATGAATTCAATGAGCTGTGTAACATCCTCAGGAGTGTATTTGTGGTTTGGTGAGGATGATAAGGATCTGTGACATGCAGCTAATCCATCCTTGTGAGGGATATTACTATACAGGGATACTACATCTATAGTCACTAGAAGTGTATTAGATGGTAATTGCTGTATGTTGTTGATCTTGTTCAGAAAGTCAATTGTGTCTTGCAGGAAACTAGCAGTATTCTTTATTAACGGTTTTAAAATATTTTCTACAAAGCCTGAGATTTGTTCGGTGAGTGTATTCATACCTGTTATGATGGGTTTGCCTGGATTTCCTGGCTTGTGGATTTTGGCCAGCATGTAGAAGTCCCCGATTTCTGGATGATCCAGAATCGCATTTATAAGTTATCAATGTAGGTGGGCTGGAAGCGTTTTAATGAGACCTTTTAATTGCCTTGTAAAGTCCTGGGGCAGATCATAATCAGTTTCTTATAGTATATGGCATTTTCCAGCTGCCTCTGGCCTTCTTGTATGTATTTATATCCATCACAACAACTGCTCCCCCTTTATCCGCTGGTTTGATGGTGATGGCCTGATTATTGCGCAAATCATGTAAAGCCCTTCGCTCTAGTGGTGAAAGATTGTACAGAATTTTCTTTTGCTGGGTGGATATCAGGGATGTAGCTCGCAATCTGAAACTGTCAATATAGGTGTCCAGTTTGGGGTTGAGTCCTTGTGGAGGTGTGAAGCAGCTGTTCTTTTTCTTTGTGTAGCACTCCATTGTCCTAGGATTCCTTTCATTACTGTGGAAATATTCTTTGAGCCTTAGTCTCTTGAAGAAATCCTCCATATCTGACAATAATTGTAAATGATCCAATTTGGTGGTTGGGCAGAATGTAAGGCCTTTGGAGAGGATGGTTAATTCAGGTTCAGAAAGTTTATGATTTGACAAGTTGATGATTACAAGTTCTTCTGTTATATCCACATTTTTAGTCACGTCAGCACTTACACAAGGGATACCTTGGGATTCCGGATTAGATTCCAGGTCACTGATAGTAGGAGGTATAGATGTTGGGTTGCTTTTATGTTTAGGTTGTATCCAAAAAGTTTATATATTTTTCTGCATCAAAAATGCATTGATAGTAGGTTCCATGGTTTCTAATGTCATAGTTCTCACCAGTGCGTTCCAGAAAAAATAGAACGCGCTGCATTTTTTCTGCACTGAACTGTAATGGAGCGTGGTAAAAAGCACCAAAAACGCAATGGGATGCACATGTCTTTATTTACCCCCTTCATGCCCAGGCCAATTTTCAGCTTTCAGCGCTCTCACACTTTGAATGACAATCGTGCTGTCATGCAACGCTGTACCCAAACTAAACTTTTATAATTTTGTTCACATAAATAGAGCTTTCTTTTGGTGGTAATTAATTACCACTGGAGTTTTTAATTTTTGCTAAACGAAAAAAGAAAATTTTGAAACAAAAACAGTTTTCTTTGTTTCTGCTACAAAAATTTGCAAATAAATAATTGTCATAAATTTAGGCCAAAAAGAGCAAACAGGTAGCGCAAACACCTAGTGCATTATCCAAGATTTATTGAAAAGTTAAAAATACAAAAACATATTTACAGATATAGCATGTATGCAAAGCTTTGTATAATAGAGATGGCCGCAACAAAGGGCAGGGTTTTGGGGACGAATCCCTTTCCTCAGAGCTACCAAGAAGTATTCTGCTACATTTGTGAGGTCAGGCACTGATGTTGGACAAGAAGGCCTGGCTCGCAATCTCCGCTCTAATTTATCCTAAAGGTGTTCTATCAGGTTAAAGTCAGGATTCTGTGCAAGCCAGTCAAGTTTCTCCACCCCAACCTCGTTCATCCATGTCTTTATAGACCTTGCTTTGTGCACTGGTGCACGGTCTTGTTGGAACAGGAAGGGGCCTTCCAAAAACTGTTTCCACAAAGCTGTGAGCATCAGATTGTCCAAAATGTTTTGGTATGCTGACACCTTAAGAGTTCCCTTCACTGGAACTAATGGGCCAAGCCCAACCCCCAAAAAACAACCCCACACCATAATCCCCCCTCCACCAAACTTTACACTTAGTACAATGCAGTCAGGCAAGTACCAAGTTCTCTATGCATTGTTGTTGTGCTAATGTGGAGGTCTTTAGCTATTGACTCTATTGCGCTTCAGCATGTGCTAGCCCTGCTCTGTCATTTTACATGGCCTACCACTTTGTGGCTGAGTTGCTGTTATTCCCAGTTGCTTCCACTTTGTTATAATACTACTAACAGTTTACCATGGTATATTTAGTGGCAAAGATATTTCCTGGATGGACTTATTGCACAGGTGGCAACCTATCACTGTACCATGCTTGAATTCACTGAGCTTCTGAGAGCGATCAATTTTTCACAAGTGTTTATAGAAGCTGTCTGCGTGCCTAGGTGCTTGATTTTATACACCTGTGACTATGGAGGTGGTTAGGACCTGAATCCAATGATTTGGAGGGCTGGCACAATACTTTTGGCAATATAGTGTATATCTGAAAATCAATCAGTCCTGAAGTACTGATGGCCAATCTAATTTCTTGAGGCCTAAAAATGTCAGGACAGTACAGATATCCCCCAAATGACCCATTTTTGCAAAGAAGACAGTCCAAGGTATTTAGTAAGGAGCATGGCCAGTTGTGATTTTTTTTTTTGCCATCATTTTTTGGAAAATGAAGAAATGTAAAAAAAAGTTTTCACTATTTTGTTTTCAGTTTCATATTGTCACCAGTGCAGTACAGCATCATCATATAAGTGGTGTGGCGGT